AGTTCATTTAGAGATCTAAATACGATATGTAAGTTCTAGAAAGGGGCTCAAGAGAAAGAGACAGTTAATCAAACTCCATTAGTACTATTAATTCTAATAATGCTGCAACTCACACGAAACAAACTACAGAAGTTTATACATCATACTATAGATTAGGTCTCCAACAATGTTCCCCACCGGTTCCAACTCTTTCCAGCCGCTGATAGACCGTTGCTTTTCACATCACAAAAGGCTAGGTTTCTGGTCTGCCCTAGAAAATTTTGCACACCCGCCACTTCCCGCGTCATCCCCAATCCAATTTATCCTTGCGATTTCAAATCAAAACATTCAACCGGGTTGCCGGGATGGGTATTTTACAAACAATCGCAGTTTACTCTATGGCCGGCACAATCAGCACACTTGCGGCACACTGACAAAACATATGACCCAAGATTGGTGTGCGAGGTGATCTACCCTTTGGAAACTCCTCAAACTCACTGGAGATTTTAAAACACTGTGAGTGAGTGGCGGCAGGAATATGGAAGAAATAAACAAAAACTCCTTGAGAGAGAGAGGGAGAGTGAACTTTAGCGAGAGAATGATTTGACGTGACGTGCGCTTTTCGAGACGCCGGATTACTTTTTTGTTCGACGCAAGAAGCTCAGAGTTCATCCAGAGTGAGAGTGAGAGCGTGTGATAGAAAACATGAACATGAATGGCAGCAAACCTCACTCTCATTTTATCACCCTTCGCTCACAAGCTCTGAAGCTCAGTTGAATGATTTGGCAGTAGGCATTCCACTCCTCAGAAAAATGCTACGCTCGGCTCATTTCAAACTCGCGAGCGAGGCTCCATCAAGCCTGAATAAAGGTCAAGAATAATAAATGAACATCAACGAACTTCCTCAAATTTCTAGAGAATTCTACAAAGTTTCATGTAGTTCCACAAAATTAGTTCACTGATTTTCTATGAAGTACAATGAGCATTTGCAAAATAACCTGATCTCCTATATAATTTATAGCAATTCCAGAAAGTTACCAGAACTTCGACGCGTTCTAAGAAGTTTTCTAGAGTTATGTAAAGCTTCTGAAGATGCATAAAGTTTTTTGATATTCTATAACATTTCCTAAACTTTTACGAAGTTCCCCAGTCTTCTAAGGAGTTTCCTGAAATCAAATGACGTTCTTTTAAGTCTTACCTTCTACGAACTGCCATTGACTTCTAAGAAGATCCCTGTAAAGACTCAGTTTTATAAATCTGAAATAGTGTACACCTTTCGCGCAACCTGCAAACTTTTAAAGTAGAGGTGTGACATATAAACACGTTTACTTTAGTTTATGTCTATTCAGCTATGGCCATAGTCCCCTCCAGCCCAACATCCTATTTACGCCTATGTGCAATACTGAAAGCTTTCAAAGTAACTTTCATACACAATATCTCAAGAAACCAACAAACCCGCTTATCGCCTTTTTTCAACACAAGGCTGATAATTCGATAGATATATGGGGACGGCTTCGACGTAGTGGTTAGCATCCATACCTCTCACGCCAAAGTCACGAGTTCAAATCTTATCCCCGAATCACGAATGAGACACGAGTGTTAAAGTGACTATAATGATAATAATAAATAAAAGATAAACGGTAGATATAACGTGTGGAAGCCCTAAACCTTTCAGAGATTAGTGACGTTTAACTTACGCACACTTGCGGGTACATCACCGTGTAAACTTGTTTATTATTTTCCTCTGACTAACCTAATGAAAATAGATCTGTCAAAATGAGTTCGATAGCGATTTGTTATGTATTTTCGTTGGATTTTCCCTAAAAAGCTCTCGCATATCGCACCAATATGTCCAAAGGAACATTGGTCAGCATCAAAACAACAGCAAAGAGTTAAATATTGAAAATTTTGAAATCTTTATTAAAACCTAGTAACCGCGGTCCACAATTTTTAATGGCACATTAGAACAATCAGAACAAGTAATGCATCTCAGTTTAATGATTATTTTGTCGACAGTTTGTCATTGATTAATCAATCCATTGAATTGGTCGTCGAAATAAAACAGCCTGTTAATAGTATTTGTAATTACATTAGATGAACTTAGAGTTATTTGCTTTTCATAAGGCTGGAGTAGATGCTAGAGTTATTCAAGATTGCTTTCATGTCATTGGCCACATCTTGCTGGACCGTATTAATGAATCATTTCAGACTTGACATGTGCCACAAAGTTGGAAGTGGTTCATATTCAAAAAGTTGCTGGAATGATTAAAGCCGAAGAGTTTCGTTTCATCAACATGTTGCACACATTAGAGAAAAGTTTAGAACTTGTTGGGAAAGGCTAGCTACTGGAGTATTTAAATTGTAGTAGTTTGTTGATACCAGAACAATTGGGATATCGGGAATGGAATTCTTGTGAAACCATGTTGAATTTGGTACTAGCGAAGTGGAAAGATGACTTGGAGCGTACAGATACGATTGTTTCTGTTTTTTTTTTTTATCTAAAACGTGCTTTTGAAACAATTTCTAGGCCCTTATTGTTAAGATCCATCAAGTGCTTTGGAATTACGAGTACTGCATATAAACGGTTTGAAAGCTATTTGTGTGACTCAACGGATTGTTTTTAATGAATCTGTTTCCAGTCCCATAGGGAATAACCTTGGAGTGCCCCAGGGAAGTGTATTGGGGGCCCTTTTATTTATTATGTATATTAATGACTTGCGACGTGTTTTACGATTTAGCGACATTAATACGCAGATGAAAACATTTATTTTCGCTAAGGAATTAAATGATGCCATTTTACACTTGAATGAAGAATTTCATTCTCTTAGCAGATGGTTGAAGTTTAAGCATTTGAGATTGAATATAAGTAAAACTAAATTCATGGTAATTTCACGGAATCGAGTAAATGAGAACGTCTCTGTTGTAATTGATGATGAGGCTATTGATCGCGTCCGGGAGATTAAATATCATGGCGTGGTTATAGAAGACAAACTAAAGAGCATTAACAATGTCATCAAGAAAATATTCAAGAAGTATGGAATTCCATGTCGATTGAAACACAATTTATCTATTATCAGTAAAATACAGATGTAAAAAACGTCACGGATTCAAATCTAATCTCCGGACAAGTCGCAAATGATCTAACATGTTTTGAAATAACTATAATACCAGAATAAGTTAAACATGGCGAGGTTCCTTTTTGAAACAAATATTTGAAGAAAAACATTAGTAGCATCTCTTTAAATATAATGTAATAAAAATTTAAGTAAAATAGGTTGTCCTAAATATGTAATACTTTTCAGTAGATTTAAAAGTAAAATATGTTGTGCATTTGTTAATATAATGTTTGATCATTCCAACAGAATTTACAATTCAGCTTTTTGTTTAACGACGAAAACTTATGGCAAAATTAAATGAACCAGTAAATGAAATATTGAGACGAAAAAACAAACTTTTTCAAATCTATCAACACTGTTCCACCACTCAATCAATTTTGATACGTTTCCACAAGCAATTCTAGAGTTATTTTAAATAAAATTTTTCAAACACGATTTGTTATGATTTAAGATGTTTGCAAAAAAGCATTTTACCACTTTTGAAGATAGACTGTTCTAATATATTTCAAATTAGAACGTTTTTGATACCACTTCATCTTATTCGCATTTCAAGCTTATTGCTTATGGCATATTAGCTTATTGCGTGCTCACAACTTAGTGTTCTAGATGCACTTCCACAGTTATTAATTGAGAGCTTTCGATGCCTGCTACCATTTTTGCATTAGTATAGTTGTATGGCAAGTACAATCATACTCTATATGCCCAGGGAGTCGAAAAATTCCTAGACCGGACTGGGAATCGAACCCAGTCACCTCCAGCATGGTCTTGCTTTGTAGCTGCGCTTTTACCGACTGAGCTAAGGGAGGCCCCACTATTGTGAATCATTAATTTACATTGGTTTATGTTTTGACAAAATATTGATACTGCTGATAATATTATTTTTTCTTTGCAAAAATTTACTATTTTTCAAATGTTACTTTAACGTCAATTTATTCCAATGTTACACGAAATGCTGGATTTTAATGTAATAAATTTAAAAAAAAATTAAATTGATAAGCTCAAAATTAGAAGAAAATATATGTCTTCTAAAGATCTCAATGACAAAAAGTTCAGTACGTTTGAAATTCAAGCTCTTCAAAGAAAGCACACCCTCCACGTGAATTTCCCTGCCAGAGTTCCATTACCGTCTGCACCAGACACCTACTTTAGCCGTAATCGACCTATCTTCATCTATTCCAGATCCAGCCAACCAGCCAGCCAGCCCCAGTCTTCAGTCTTACTTTCTATATTGGTAGGCCTACCAACAACCCGTCCATCTGTCGTTTGGATGCAACTACCTTGCTGACAGCACCTCGCAGAAACATGTCGAGCAATTATCATCGATGAGCGAAAAGTGCGCGCCAATCCGGACGACTCCAGACAGGGCTGCTCGTTACACTTTTAACAGATCTTTCGTTTGTTGCACTGGAGCTCTTAACGGTTCCGTGGATCGATGGAATTTGTACTTCTTATGGCTCACAAATCTTCTCGAAATTTGTAGTAAGCCCAGTTCCGTTTCCAGAATCCAATCTCCGCGGATATTACTGTACAGGAAAAAAAATAACCTATCCACATCCAGAGCCCAAAAGACCGAAATTATGCCACACCGATCTGTGTCACTGAGCGCTTTGAAATTGTCTTCGACGTAAACAAAACATGGCACTCACATAGAGTTTTTCGTCCGCGTTGCTTTTTGTTCACAGAACTGCATTCAACCACACTCCAGCGTACACTTTTATTATTAATCCGGCAAAAACAGACCAACAAGCACTCTCTGTTCCATATTCAATGCGTCAAAAGCACACTACTTTTCTTGTCGGAGCCCGGAGCAACTAAAAAGCATAATGTTCCACTCGGAGACTTATTATAATCCATCCAGCTGAGCACAAGGCGACACACAACACTTGAGTAAAAATTCAAAATTACCGGCTTAGCGTCGTTTTACTTTTCACTCGATCGTCGCCGTCGTCGTCGTCGGTTTCGAATCCGTTTGCGAGGAGTAGCACGACTAGCAGAGACAGGCGTGTTAGTAGCTACGACCGTTTTGCGCGAGATCCAAACACAGAATGAACTTGAAACCACCGGGATCGGTACTACTGACTGGAGCGCTCTACCACTTCACTGGCCTGGAGGCAGCACGGTTTTCCGCGGATAACTGTGGAGAAAGACGGGGCGCGAAGAAATAAGACATTTCTGCCGATGCACTACCCGTATCTGCTTTCATGCCACGCGCTTCCATGCCAATGTAATACGATCGGTGCGGGATGCGATCGGGGCTTCGCTGGCCGTTCAAATTCGGTAGCTCCACATTGTTGCTTTCGGGTCTGGCTGGGGAGGCACAGTACGTAAAGTGGGAAGGATTTATATCACTATCACTTGTGGTGTGTTTAAATGTATTAACCCAGGATGCAAATTCAATGTTGAAACTCATTTTCCAGTGATTTTTAAGCATTATTTGTATTTGAATTTATCTCATAAATTATAATTTTTTTTTCTTTGATTTGTTTCCGTCGATCTTGTTTTCCGTGCTGAGCACTAATGCTACAGACGCCAGGGAGGCAGCTGCCACACCTGGATCCTACCTATCGACCCATCAACTCATGAACCGAGGACCAACGGCTTTACTTCCCTTCCGAAGGAAGGCGTGATCAGAGATGTTATGCCTCAGAACATCCCGGTGGCGCCGACTGGGATTGAACCCAGGCCTGCTGGGGTGAGAGGCAATCACGCTTACCACTACACCACCGGCGCCGCTATAAATTATAAATAACTGATACCCTGAAGTTAACCATCTTTCTGTATTAATTTTTACAGGGATCAAGTATTTTAGGATAAAGTGTCTCCTCAAACTTTCTTTTGATTTTTTGTTCAGCACCAATTGAATGATTTTAAATGTAAAGAGAGAGAGAGAGAAAAATTAGTAATTTCCATTTAATCCCACTACCTTATTTGCTTATCCTTGACAGATACGCGTATTTCGTCTACAATGTGTAGACTTCTTCAGTGTCTTGTACTAATTCAATGCACTGAAGAAGTCTGCACATTTTAGACGAAATACGCGTATCTGTCAAGGATAAGCAAATAAGGTAGTGGAATTAAATGGAAATTACTTATCTTTCTCTCTCTCTTTATACAGGTATTCCACTAAAACGCCCACAATCATCAGGATTGATTATAAGTGAAAACATATAAACTGTTCTCAAAAATATAAACCTTCAATAAACTGACGTAAATGTCTCCATAACACTATCTCCCGTCTAAACGCAACTTTTGTGGCAACTTGCCTAAAAAATCCTTTCTAGATTTCAAGAAAACAGGGGGATCAAGAAAAACAGCTCTTAACATACTATCATTGATCCAACTCATCAATTACATATCCCAAGATTTAAAACTATTTATTTTTACTGTGCACAGAGTAAATGCTCTATTCATCGTTCAGCAACAATCAAAGTCTTCAACTATATACGCCCGTTGATGCACCTGCCTACCTGCAAGCCGACGAAGCTGGGAGGCAGTGCATAAATACAAGATGATTGTTATTATTTTCTATTTTACTACTAGGCAAGAAACATCTTCTGCTCGCTTCTTCTCCCTACGGAGTTTTAACCGAGCCTTGTAATTTCTGTTTTGCCCTGTTCTTCATTCAGTACCAATCATTTAATCAGAAATCGGATATCGCGCACAACGCAACCTCGCCAGAGGAGGGTGAGAACTACACATACGTCAATAATGCTTGATCTCCCGTTGGCACTTGACTCCAACTCAATTCGCTTTCTTCGGGACTGCTTTACATTTTTTTTTTTCCAACTGAAAAACAATTCTCCATTCTTCATGCAAACGATATCGCTTTGTAGTTCTTCATATTGATTCCCACCCCATCATTTGCATACTGGAAACCGTCCCAATAATCTCAGCCAGTTTTACGCTTCTCAGTCACTCAACTGTACCTACTACCGACAACAGGTGGCCTCTACCGGGCAGCCTATCCAAATAAACCATCTTGCACATCGTGCCGATTCTTGATCATAGCACACAAACCGGAAAATTCTAAAGAAAGCAGCAAATTGTTCTACAACAGTGTGATGAATATGGACATACCTATCATGCCTTTCATCTTTCTACCACCTAGCAAAACTAGAGCACTCCACAGAAACGACTCTAGGACCGGGCTCCTCTTATTACATTTCACGGTCCGTTGGCAATGTTCGTCATCGGCGTTGTCGTCGTCGACGTCTTTTCGCAAATTCTATCGAACTACAGGCAAGGAAAAACGGCCACGGAACAGTTCATTAACTTTGTGCAGTGAAAAACCACACAACACCGGTTGGAAGCGTGGCGCAATGTGTATAGTGAGCGAGTGAAATGCCTGCGCTAATTTTGGTTTTTCAGAATTTTAACGGATCCGGAAGGTGTGCGTGTAACGTTCCGATTACACAACGAATCAACCAATCAGCTAGAAAATTGAACAACGGAATCGGTTCACCTGGATTCGGCGGGGTTGTGTTTGTTTGTTTTTTTGTTTCCATTGTGGGAATGACACACAATCAGTCTAAGAGTACAGTAATCGCTCCATTTATGCGGTGGGTGGTGCCGTCCACCCACCGCTCTTTCTCGGCTGTCCTTCACCCAATGGAGCTGATTTTCTGTAGATATCTAGTTTATGATTGACACTAATCACATACCAAAAAATAGCGTTATTGGTTGAAGGTCAATGTTGGGTGGACAGCTATTGAGAGTTTACTGTATGTAAAATAGCGTGGTAAAATTGTCGATTTTACTCAAACGATTTTGAATCAAGGACCTCACTGGGGAAGTCGAAACAAAACATTTTTCGTATGAACGCTTTTATGAAAACACGAATTTCCAACCCGAAATATTTCCTCGACCGGGCCTGGAATCCAAACCGCCGCCTCCGGCTTGGTAATACCATGTCTTTACTGATTAGGCTATCTGAGGTATACTTGCTATCTGTATTTAGAGGAAATTTTCTCAGCTACTACTTTGCCAAAGACCATTTTTTGAGTGAAGGTTAGACAAATTATTCAATGCGTCAGTTTCCGTTTATGAACGGTACTCTTCAGAGAGCTTGTTTGCACTAGCGTGCACAAGAATCTTGTTAAGGAGGGGCATTTTTTTTTCTATGGTGCATTTAATCTGGGGATGGAAGTTCTCCAAAGTGCGTGGTGTATGGTACTGTCCACCCACCACTGTTTCCCTAATGTTCAATTTAGCAAATTTTATTTATTTTTGCTCCGGTGGTGGTTCATCTTCTTCAATGCAAACTCCTTTCAGACAGCTAATGGAAATTGCAAATTTAATCCCATGGACGATGTCGATGATGATCGGTTCGTCAAATGGTTGCGATAGCAGGGCTTTAACCGAAATGCTTTGCTGCAATGTTGTTGCCTTGGTGGTTGGATTCAGCTGAAGTCACGTCAGATGGTGGTGATAGCACCGACAAACCGTCATGAATGACCAATAAGAATCGCATTCTCCTTTCGCATGCACACTGCGTCGACAATTAAAAGGTTCAAACAGTGCGCATAGCAGTGAACAAACAGTATATTGCTCTTGATCAATCCAATCTTGATCAGTGGTGTTGAGTACTTGGCACTTAAAGGGTGATACGGTCGAAATTTGGTCAATATCAACTTGACGTATTTCTTTCAATTTTGCATTTAAAAAACCTGAACACCCCTCATTTTGAAGGTGTGTGTGTGTAGAATGTTGCTCCTATTTTGATTTTGGAATTCACTCTTCAGTTGTCAAAATGCCGTCCAAGCAAGAAGAGCAGCGTATCAAAATTTTGCTCGCGCATCGCGAAAATCCGAGCTACTCGCACGCAAAGTTGGCAAAATCGCTAAAAGTTGCCAAATCAACCGTTACAAATGTAATTAAAGTGTTTGGGGAACGTTTGTCGACAGCCAGGAAGTCTGGATCGGGGGGAAATCGAAAACCGGAAGCCGCTGAGACGACAAAGAGAGTTACCGGTAGTTTCAAGCGAAACCCTAACCTCTCTCTCCGAGATGCCGCAAATAAGCTGGGTGTATCGTCTACAACCGTGCATCGAGCCAAAAAACGAGCCGGACTATCGACTTACAAGAAGGTAGTGACTCCAAATCGCGATGATAAACAAAATACGACGGCCAAAGCACGATCCCGGAGGCTGTACACGACGATGCTGACGAAGTTTGACTGCGTGGTAATGGACGACGAAACCTACGTCAAAGCCGACTACAAGCAGCTTCCGGGACAGGAGTTTTATACGGCAAAAGGAAGGGGAAAGGTAGCAGATGTTTTCAAGCACATGAAACTGTCAAAGTTCGCAAAGAAATATCTGGTTTGGCAAGCCATCTGTACCTGTGGCATTTTCATAGCTTCCGGGACTGTCAACCAAGAAATTTACGTGAAAGAGTGTTTGAATAAACGTCTGCTGCCTTTCCTGAAGAAACACGGTTGTTCCGTACTGTTTTGACCGGATTTGGCATCTTGCCATTACGGTAAAAAGGCCATGGAGTGGTACGCCGCCAACAACGTGCAGGTGGTTCCCAAGGACAAGAACCCTCCCAACACGCCAGAGCTCCGCCCAATTGAGAAATACTGGGCTATTGTCAAGCGGAACCTAAAGAAGACCAAAAAAACTGCTAAGGGCGAGCAGCAGTTCAAGGCAAACTGGCTTTCTGCGGCAAAGAAGGTGGACAAGGTGGCTGTACAAAATCTGATGGCAGGGGTCAAGCGTAAGGCCCGGCAATTCGGATTTGGAAAAGCGGAAGCCTAACTGAATATTTTTCCTGAATTTTATACTAATTGAACTTGAAAAAGAAATTTAATTTGATTTTTTAAATAAACGATTTCACCGATTTACACGCGTTTTCCCTTGACCAAATTTTGACCGTATCACCCTTTATGATAACGGAATTAAAAGGAAATAAGCCAACACACTCAAAGCTCTTCATAAAAGTATATTGCTGTTTTTGTCGTTGCACTTGGCTTGTACTCCAGCAGTGCTGCCAGCCATTGTACTAGCACCGTCAAAACATACTGCCATCACCTGCTCCCAAGAAATCTGCATCGCTGTCAGGACCTCAGCAATGGTATTGAAGATGGTCGTCGCGTCTATTTTCATCACCCGTCTCAATGTTCCGCAACATTACAC